GGTGGTTGGAATCCCTACAAGACTGCATGGAGTGGAGACTGTTGTTTGTCTCCAGTTTTCTTCCAAGACTGGGGTCCCCTTCTTGTGTTCTACCACAATCTCAGAGGGAAAACCAGCCTTCCTGAAGGCCGTTGCATGTCTCCACAGCTGTACAAGCAAGGTTCCCTGTGACTTTGGCCTTACACACTGTCCACCAGGTTATAAATCTGTTTAGTTCTTTAGAAAGTGAGTTTTATCTTTCTAATAGAGAGAGTGGCCAAGGACAGAGGTGTGGTGTGGCTGGACCAGGAAACGGTCTAGTGAGGCTTGGCCCTTGGGTTGCCCAACCTTGTCTATTTCCACCTTTAGTATAAACGGAGGGAGCTGTCATAGTACGGCACCTCTCTGTACCAAACGGCAGACAAACCTGCAAGATCCTCCAAGGGTCAACTGTTCACTTCCCCTGTGAGCTCCCAGTTGTCTCAGGAAGGTGTTGCATTGAAAGGTGGGTGCCACCATTTACCTGTTGGAGGTTGAATTTCCCCAGACTTTGGATCCTACTTGGTTGAGAAAGAGGGTCGTGATAGCACCTGACTGAGAGGTCTGATGTGATGCTTAAATAAAAGTTTACATCAGGAGCAGCTGCTGGCACGAGCTCTATAAAAGGTGGCCAAGAGGACCATGATGCCCCAGGAGAGACTCACGTGCTGCTGATGGGTAATGAGGGTCTCTACACAAGGACACAGTCTTTCTGATCCACGTGTAGGTCTGTAACCATCCTTGAACACTTTTCTGAAACTGCTTTTCAGGGGAGGTGACCCCAGAAAGGTTCTGTCTGGGCTCAGAGCCTTTGACACGGGTACCCCCGTTAGAGATAAGAGCCAGGAAGCCTGGAGTGTGGGTGCCATGCTCCTCTGTGCCCACCTCTCTAGGAGCACAAAGGCTTAGTGATTACACCAAGAACCCATCTCACTCCTAATTTTTTTTGAATAATTATTTTATCTTATTTTATTATTATTATTATTTAAATTGACCACAGAAAGACAGAGAGAGACAGCAAGAAAGCAAACCACCAGGTCTAGGATTCAAATTGCAGTCAGCCATGTGGGAGTCCAGCACCTTAACCACCATGTGACCTGCCAGTCTGTAACCCCTAAAATTAATCCATGATAAGTGATAAACATGTTCTGAGTCTTCCCTCTAGGTTTTAATTTTCTTAGCTATAAGCACAGTGGACCCCTAAGAACTAAATACCTTGGGGTGGTTGAGCAGGCACCATCTTCCATGCAACTGTTTTGAAATCTCAAAAAGCTGGCTTCCAATGCTGTCAGACTCCAATGTCAGTCAACAGAAGCAGGGTGAGTCCCTCACCTCAGTGTTCCTGTGCATTGCGGAAGACCTTGGTGCTACCGAAGGGGAAGAGCAGGCCCAAGTGTGGCAGCCAGGGGCTCTGGCTTGGTACCTCAGCAAGGTATCTGCAGATGGCTCACATATTACAGCAAATTGAAATGTGTGGCCTTCATTTCCTCCTTCCCTGGGACTTACTGCCCAGGAAGTTGAGACTTATCTCGATTGACTGGAGGGTCTGAAACAGCCGCCTGGTGAGCCATCCAGTCCTGGGGCGAGGTTGGTGGTGAGTGTCTGAGCTACCGTTTCCTTCCCCTTCTCAGTTTCTCATACGGAGGCTTTCTTCTGCTGCCAGGGACAGGTGGCATGTGATTTGGAAGCTGGCTCGAGAGCATCCGCAAGATCACCTGGGCTGCATTTCAGGACCCTAATGATAACCTATATTCAGTGTGCTGTGCATGGCCCCAGGGCCACCTCTCAGATATGGAGAAAATGAAGCTGTGTACCATGGGTGTGTGTGCGTGTGTGTGTGAATATTAGGGACCTGCAAGAAAGGCATTGCTCAGCCCCACTGGGAATGGTGGTGGTCTTCCATGTGACTAGAGCCTCCTTTGGGACTGTCCTATCACTGGGGAGGTGCTGACAGTCTCTGTCCATCCCACTGTACTCTGACACATGGGAAGCCACATGTGTGATTGGCTCTGAATTAGGAACAACCCTTTTATAGTTCCTAGCTGGGCTATCTTGGCTTTCCTCAATGGTAACAAGACAGGCCACCATGGGTCACCAGGAATTTGATGCACCCACACGAAAGCTCACCCATGAGCTAGCTGAAGCCCTGCAGTGGAGGGCAGGAAATGGGATTCTTCTTGGCTTTGGCCACTAACTCTATGGAAAGGGGGTGAAGACCCAGACCCTGGTCCAGTGGTGTTCCTTCCAGTGTGACCTTGGTTCCTGACTTCCTCCTTCTGCGTGCCTCACTTAATTCACCTGGAAAACCGAAGGTCGATCAGATGATCCTTAAGGCCCTGCCCCCACTCATCTGTGATTCTGACCCAAGTCCACACACAACGTTGGGTGCTGCACTCTCACCCGCCTGGGCTATTACGCTTTGGTTTTGCATCACCCTGAGAAGTGGGGGAGCTGGTGAGGAGCCACCTTTGTATGTCGATGGTGGCACCGCGGGAGCCAGTTTCCTTGTACCCGCGTTGGCCGCTGATGCGTCACTTAGTTCCTGTTTCTCTTTGCCCACCTGGGAAGACACTGCCTATGAAATGCTGGGCCCAGATGCCGGATTTCAAGCCACATTAGGAAATGCTAGCTCACAGGACACAAAACGGGAAGTTGGTTTTCCCGACAGAGTCATCTGGGCAGTGTTCCTCTCAGAATGCGTCAGTCTCACCAACCCAGGTCCGTTAGCTCTTAGAAAGCTTGGTTTTTCACTGCCACTAGCAAATGAGGCCTTTAAGGAAAAAATAAAGGTTGCAGAAGTTTGTGTAAATCAGGAAACTTAATTGTACAAGGCGAGTTAAGATTTGGGGTAGAAACAATATAGAGTTTCAGGGAAAAAGAGAGAGAGAGAGACAGACAGACAGACAGACTACCATCATTGTCATGTGTCCTTGAGCGAAGATGGGGAGTCCAGGAGAAGCTGTGTTCTCTGTGACCTGCCACCCTGTGCAGGGTCCTTAGGAGCAGTAGAGCTTCACCCAGGCCTCCAAGCTGGACAGTCCGCCCTCCACCGTGTTCTGTTTCTCTTTGCCCACCTGGGAAGACACTGCCTATGAAATGCTGGGCCCAGATGCCGGATTTCAAGCCACATTAGGAAATGCTAGCTCACAGGACACAAAACGGGAAGTTGGTTTTCCCGACAGAGTCATCTGGGCAGTGTTCCTCTCAGAATGCGTCAGTCTCACCAACCCAGGTCCGTTAGCTCTTAGAAAGCTTGGTTTTTCACTGCCACTAGCAAATGAGGCCTTTAAGGAAAAAATAAAGGTTGCAGAAGTTTGTGTAAATCAGGAAACTTAATTGTACAAGGCGAGTTAAGATTTGGGGTAGAAACAATATAGAGTTAGAGTGAGGGAGAGAGAGAGACAGACAGACAGACAGACAGACTACCATCATTGTCATGTGTCCTTGAGCGAAGATGGGGAGTCCAGGAGAAGCTGTGTTCTCTGTGACCTGCCACCCTGTGCAGGGTCCTTAGGAGCAGTAGAGCTTCACCCAGGCCTCCAAGCTGGACAGTCCGCCCTCCACAGTGTTTCCCGAAACCACCCAGCAGAATCTTACTGGCAATGGCCCGTGTGCGAAAGAGTTCTGCCTCAAGTATGCTTGGGAGGCACACAATCTCCTAATATAAATAGCTTTATTTCTTAACTCCTCTGAGTTTTTGTGCATTGTGAGAGAACATTACTGTGTATGTGAATGAATTTCGTTGTGAATTGTAAATGAATCTCTAGAGGAAGGATAGAGCGTTTCTAAACACACATACCTCACCTCACATTTTACAGAAAGTTTTGTGCTATTAACCAAAGGATATGGAGAGGGGTACAGGGTCAGCTGGTTTTCAGGGTGAACACGGGGCTGCATCCTGGGCAGGTTACATGGAGGGGACAACAGGTTACCCGAGGAAGCTTTACTTGGTTACAGATAGAGCCCATCCTTCTTCTGGCCATCAGTCGTGTCTGATTAGAGAATACAGCTTGGAAGTGGCCTTTTTTCCATGGGAAGTCTTCCCTAGACCCTCTCCTGGAGAAACTCCTTTCTCCCCAGAGTGTATCTAGACACAAAGCTTTTTTGGGCTACAGTATGGACTTTGGGGAGTTGGTACCCTTCATGATTATGAATCTACTAGTCTCTCTCTCTCTGTCTTTAGAAGTATCCTTTCATTTGTTTGGGAGAACTGGGAATTATCAGTGGACTGCTTGGGAGATAGACTACACCATCCCAAGCAGCCAAGCAGTTATTAATAGAATCACAGTCTTTCTGGACCTGCCCTCAGGGCCTGTGCTTGGCAGGAGTCACTTCTTGCTGCTTGTCTTTCCATCTTTCCTCCTCATGGAGGCTGCTTGGCATAAGCTTATCTTCTCAAGATTACTTGAGGGACCTAGGAGGCCCACTGTCCTAGAGTGGCTCTTCGTTCCTGGGATGGGAAGTAGAGAAGTGACCAGAGGCTGGGAACCTGCTTGGGCTGGAATTCCACAGTGATCAGCTCTCTTTGGGCTGTGGCGGAGATCTCAGGGCATCACTGGAGTGAACATCTGGATCCTCTGGTAAGTCCCTGTGTGAGCCATCAGCTAAATCAACAGTGGCACGCAGGGGAAGAACCTCAGGGCCCACCAGTCATGAGAGCCTGACCAAGGATTCAGAATTGACTTCAGCTTTTCAATAATCATGCAGGGTGGCCCCTAGCAAAGCAGTGGGCTTCTGGGAACATCTGCCTCTTCAGTCCCTTCCGAATTATTTTAAATGGATGATCCAAACTGCCATCGCCACCTGCAATTTTGTTGATTATCACTGCGTATTGGAATAGATGCTGATAAATGCATTTGATGCCCCCGCTCACTGTCTCATTTACAATCTGTCTTTCCCTTCTCAGTTTCCATGTGCTACAGTGACTGTCTGTCGATGCGGTTGGCAGTGACCTATGTTTCTCATGCATGTTTTTGTTTCAGAATAACTGGGAGATGAAACAGGAAGCTCTATGACACTCTTGATCGAAAATGACAGACAGAAAAATCAGGACTCACCCCTTCCAGCGCCTCTGCCTGCTGATCACAGCCAGAATGCAGGTGAAGGGTTTTCCCTGGGACCTGGCCCTAGCTCCTGTGGACTCAAAGGACCTCCACATTCTCTGATGATGTGTCTGCCATGTCCTGGTTGTGGTCTGGTCTTGTCGGGTTCCCATTTGTCTGGCCAGTGTTTATGCATCCTTAATCGCTTCTTTTTCATTAAAACAAAGGAAACAACATTGTTTGCTTGTTAGCTTTATTTATTTATCTATTTTAAAAGCTTTCATTTTATTCTTTCTTTCATGGGTATGTATAAGAGAGGAGGGAAGACACAGAAACATGGAGACAGCATCCCACCAGGGTCTTGACACCACAATCCACCCTCACCTTCAGAGTGCCCCAGATCTTGGGCACACACGTGCCTGGCATGCTCAGGGAGGTCTCTGAACCTGGAACCCTGCTGTGTAGGCCAGCTTTGCAGAGCATTGCATTACTATCTCACTGCCGTTCAGCCTTGTCTGAACACCAATGTAAGGAATTCCAAATTGTGTTTGAGGTTAATTTCTACAAGTCCACGAGCAAACTCTCTTATAACCACAATCATTGTGACATCTTTAAAAGTGCTGAACTCGAGTCTCTTATTGCTCCGCCATCGGCCCTGCTTCTTCTTGTATATCTCTAGAAGATTTCTCGAGAGTCAGGATTGGCATACTGACATTAGAGAAAAGCATTGAAATTCATCTAGAAGTCTCTTTCCACACCTGCCTCAGCATGGCCCATAGACTGACTCCAACCTCAAGCTTTCAACAGGAGCCCGGCCTTCTCTGCTGCCTCCTTCCCACATGTCTGCCACCCCTTCACTTATTTATTCTATAAAGATTTCTTTGGGGCCAACCGTGGGCCGGGTTCTGCAATGAATGGGACTGACGGCGCCGGCCTTCCCAGGACCTGTGAGTGGGCTTTGCTCAGGAAGTGGTGGGGAGCTGGGTGCAGTTTCTCATAGGCAGCTCCGTCTCACTTCAGTAGATACCCTGATTTCCCAAATCCACCCTTCACATCTGAGACCCTGGAATTGGCACCCGAACATTCGATAAAATGATTAAACGTCAAAGCATTCCTTCCATGCTGTCCCACTTGAATAGGATGATTCGACCCTCCTAGGAATGTGGCCAAATAGGCCGTTTGTAGATGCCTTCTAGCATCATCAGTTCTCCCTCTAAGCTCAGCAGACATCCAAGAATAACTTTAGATGGCCGTGTTTATTGCCTCATACTTCTCAGGATTATTTTGCCAATAGGCCGTGCTGATAGCCACAAAGCCTCCTGTGCACGTGGCTCAGTGTATGTTGTGGTGCTTGTCTCGATCTCGGCCCAAATATCTCCTAGTATGGGAAGACTCTCTGAGCAGTAGATCCTGAGAGGACCCTCCCTATTTCACCATTTCTCTCTATCTCATGACTGTATTATATTTTCTTCATAGAACTTAGCACTATCAGCAATTACCCTGATTCATTTAGTAATTTTCTGTCTGCCTCTCACTCCAATGCCAATATGTCCCCTCTATAAAGGCAAATTGTAGTCTCTTATTTCCTGGTCTGTCCCCAGCATCAGACACTCTGTTCAGCAATTGTGTGTCAAGTGGGTTTATCATTAGGGAGTTGCTCACGTAGACCTAAGCCTGCCCACTGTGGATGTACCTCTATGCTGATGCAAGGGGCTCTCACTAGAAAGAGCTTCCATTTCCCAGTGGCCACCTTCTCCTCTGATCTTGAGCAGAATGCAATCACTTCCTCTGCCCATTTTCCAGCCTTACCCTGGGATCACCCACAGGCTCAAAAAGAAAAATCACAGGTGCCAGGTGCATGAGTAAAAACTCATATGACACTCATAGAATAATTCATTCTAAAAAAGGGTGTTCGTGTGGGGGGAAAGAGCACAAGAGAATTGGCCACAAAATCCTAGATGTTAGGGCAATAGTTCGGACTCTGGCGAGACATTAGACTCACTCAGAAGTCAAAAATCCAGATACCCAGACACCACCTTGACCAATCACGTCAGAATCTGGGAGGGAGGAGGGAGATTTCAATGCATTCCCAATGTTGATAATCACTGGTCTGGAGATACACTGTTCAATACACCAGCCACCTATGTCCACGGAGCACTTAAAATGTGGCTTGTGCAACTAAGGGCACGACTAGCTAGTGCCTTTGTATTTTAATTAGTTTATATTTAAGATCCATATGTGCCATGTGGCTGCCATATTGAATAATACAGATAAAGCACATGTCCGTTATCACAGAAAGTTCTACTGGATAGAGTAACCTTGGGGGATCCTGAGTTCTGTAATTGCCAAGTGAAGTTATGATGAACCTGAAAGGAGTTTAAAGAAATTCCCTCTTAGTGTAACGGCTATGTCGCTGGACTCCCATGTAGTTGATTGTGGTTCGAGTCCTGGACCAGTGGCTTAAACTCATGCCAGGCGCGTGTGTGTGCATGCCCAAGATCCCAAGAGGAGGATGGAGGAGAAGGGATTGTGGCATGGCCATCCCCCCCGGGGGGGTGATTTCTTGCTTTCTGTCTCTCTGTCTCTCTCTGTCTTTCTGGTGAGTGCACGTGCCCTATAGCAAAAAACCTCTCCAAATAAATAAATAAAAATTCCCTCTTTTAACTTGACTGAGAACTGCCTTCCTGCTTTGGGCCAGTAATATGCTTTTCATCTACGTTTTGAACCGGGACTTTTGTGGTAGCAAGGGTGACAGAGCACAACATCATAGGATTGAACAGAATTCACAATTGCTTCCAAAGTCTATAGCCCAGACCTAAATCCTTTGCTGTGTACTCTGGCCTTTACTTGATTAGCATCTTTGAAGATCCAGCCCTGGCAAGGGGGCTTCTGAATTGCTATTTAATTATTGTAATTGAATCATTTAGGACAGTGTAGGAAGGGCTTTTGGAAAAGCAAAGCGGAGAGCTACTTTGGGGAGGAGTTAAGTTGAAATGGGTTCAGGGTGGTGGCTATGCAAGCCTAACCAGTTTGGGGTTAGAGATGGAGAATTAGAAGCCAAAGCTGAATCATTTTCTGCTTATCACTCAGAGACCGTCACATTTTCTTTTTGCTTGTTATTGGAGGGAAAGCACCTTGCGACAAATAATAATACTATTTTGAATTTCAGAGCTTTCCCTTTTTCAAAGCTCTTTACCATCTCCGACTTATTTTTGTCCTCACAGCAAGGACGTAAGATAGAGAGATTTTAGTGACTGTCTAACAGCCCAAGAGAGTTCAGTATTGGGGGAAGAATTAAAAAGTGGTTGTTCTTCTTCCTGGCCATATTCAAGGAGCCTGTCTCAAGGCAGATGTAACAGATTTGTGTTCCTGTAGTGGGGTGCATTTTTTCATTATAACATAGGACTTCACATTTGTTCTGTCTTGTTCCATCCCAGCTTCTAAACCCTCATGCTTTGATTCTTTGGGGCTAGTTCCTTCCCAGAACTTTGAGTGATCAGCAAATTTGGGAAACATGCCTTTAATACCTCCTTCCTCCAAGTTGTATTTCAGGTGGTGACTGGGACAGAACACAAGATACAGCCCTCTGGTTCTCCACAAAAAATACACCTTCTTCCTCAAAGGCGTTCAGTCAGCCATGGGCCACCGTGTCACCTTGGGGTCCTTGACCTTTTTCTGTTTAGAACTGCAGAGAGTCATTTCAAACCACACTTGCAGGGTGATTTGAAAGCACTCAATAGACTGTCCAGCTGAGATCTCCAAGGTGGCTTGACCAGCCTGGATATTCCCAACAGCTGAAATGGAGGCCAGGCAGGAAGCCTGACATGGAGCCATGAGTGAACCTTCTTTGGGGATGATTATCCTACCAACTGTGACTCCCCCTAGTCATCCCATCATCTGACCCCTCTTTTGTACCTTATAGAAATAGGATATGAAGGGAGGTTTTCAAATGCTTTACTGAAAGCAAGACACACTTTCTGGGGCATTCCCCTAATCGACTGTTCTGGTGAAGCTCGTCAAAACAGGAAGTGAGGTTAGCATGGAATGACTTTCTCTTAGAGAACTTGCATCGCCTCCTAGAGACCACCACTTTCTTCCCAAAAGCTTGCGATCCCTGTTTTAGGCCTCTTCTGAATTTTCCCGGAAATTGGAGGGAGTCTCACTTCTGTATTTTGTAGAATCCATTCCTTTGGAAAAGAGTGGTGATACTTCTTCCCAGCCTTCCAGACCCCCTCTCTTTCTCTCTGGTGACTCTAAGTTGTTTCAAGTTGGTCTGAAGTTAGATCCACACATGCTTCAACCACAGTAAAAATGTGGTTGAGCCAAGGGTTCTGAGTATGTGGGGTCACATGAGGGTTCCCTGGCATGGGCTTTCGATAAAGCCTTCCCACAAGAAGCTGTTTGATCCCCACGTTCCCACTGTATCAAAGATACCAGTAAGAAGAAAGTCCAGTAAAATGAAAGCTTAGTGGGAGCAATCCACTTTCCTCCCCTGCTCCATGTGTGAGCGTCTGGCTCAGAAAAGCACTGTGATTGAAACAACTGGGCCTGGCTTCACTGAAGCCAAAGGACTGGGTTCTTTGGCTCAGTTATCAAAAGCATTGAGGGTTTCATAGTCTAGGCAGCTGCATCATGCTTATCTTTGCTGAGGCTTTCTGACAAATGTTTCTACTTGAAATTGCCAGATCTGAAAAAAAAATTTTTTTTCCCCTTTATTCATGATAGAGTGCTTCTGTGTGCACATGAAAATGAGAGTGAAAAAGAGAGAATGAGAGAGAAGCACCCTCCACAGGCTGTGATTATGCCAAGATGCCCTTCCTCCAGTCTTCCAGCCATTGAACCTGGGGCTCTCACTTGTGTGCCTGGCGTGTTTCAGGTCTTTAGGGATTCAAACTCTGGTCACTGAGCGGGAGCCACCTCTATTTATACAGCATGTTACCACTGTATCTAGGAGCTGGCCAGAATTTGTTTTAACTTTGTTTTTTCCCATAAGTCAGAGAGAGAGACAGAGGCAGAGATACAACACCCTGACATGGTCTTGATTTTGCCGTCCACCCTCTAGCTTCATCCAGCCCAGATCATGGACACACGTGTGCCTGCCATACTTAGGGAGGTCTCCAGATGTGAACCAGCACCCATCCTCAGAGTGTTGTGTTTTACCACTGTTCCACTGTCCAGCCCTTTGAGATTTCCAGATTTAAATGTCTTTTTTTTTTTTTTTTAAGATAC